AACAGCAATGAACAGTCAGAACTAAGGAGCACTTACCCAGATGGCTATTGAAACAGGAAAATATAACTCCTCGTTCCTCTATTACTGTACACTTGATAGATAGAAGTCATTATGTGGACCCAAAAACTTATTTCCGAGTATTTGTTCGGGCCCGAACAGTTAGTACGCTGCGCTACCTGGAGGCAGCCTATATACGGCGGTCAAAACGCGACCTCTGTTAGCAGTAGGAGCATGTGGTTCACCTAACTTTGCCCTGGTAACATCCAGCTCCCTGATTGACGCTTTAATGTTTTTTTCCACACTTTTACTTTTCACATCGTTTTAACATGCTTACGTTACTAATAAGCCTTCGTGACCAGGTCCTATAACCGTGCTGACCTATTTTGTACGAATTCAATTTTGTATTTTCTCGTACGTCACTCACGTTATGTAGCGAAAGGTAGAAGCTGATAAGCACTCTCTAAATTGATGGGTCCACTAAATTTTGCTGTTTATGCAATCGTCAAATTTTCACCAGGGAAAAGATGCTTTAAAAAGGGGCGAGGGCGCGCGGGTGACTTGAACGTGCAAGTGGTACATTAAGACAGACATGTTCAACATTTACTTTCTTTTCTATCCCAACACCTATCAGTCTCCAACGACAATGCCGAGTTAAAATGAAAATGAAACTATTATTTGCTGGTCATTAAACTGATTTCCGATAACGACACTCGAAACTCAAATAAATGAGTGCAATAAAGCAATCTAGCCCTTAGACCTGAGAGCATCCGGTTATCAGGAGTCGACGACCTTGCAGATTAACACTTTTGGCACGTCATGATAGTTGAGAGACCGTTTGGTTTACAGTGGGACGCTAAGAACTAGTGCGGAGTCGGAACGGCCACAATCCTCGCCTCGTGCAGGTACTAGTGACAAGCCCAGGTAGGGCAAATGTCTATGGGTTGCGATGAGGTGACTAAAGTGACGATTAAGTATGCGACATATCTGTGCTATAGAATAACCATAGAAGGACGTAAAAAGTCGTTGAACATATGCATAAAGAAGGCGTCAGAGGTTGACAGAAGTTCTATCAGCTGAGGTTATGACAAGTGTCTATTATGCAATTTCATGAAGAAAATAGAGCACACGCCTCATATAAAATGGTAAGGGTGGTAATATTCTTTTTAGCAATAGGGCAGGTGAGCGAGGCAATTAATAGAGTCTCGGAAAGGCATTGAGAACAATTGCGTTTCTAACATAAGTTCGTTCTATTACTGCAATGAGATGCTGGAACAAACGCACAATACGAAATATGCAAATAAGTTGCGTTTTAATGGGCGGAAAACAAGAAATTCCTGGATTATTGGTTAAGGGTTTGATCTAGTAAGAAAGATTGCGGCAGGCGAAGTTAACCCTAACTCTTTTTCTTATCCTAATCGCTAACTCAACCCTAAGCCTAAACATAATCCATTAATTCAGTTGACCCAATTGTGAGAAATTCACGGTTCGTAGCTCAATGGTAGAGCGTTCGCTGCGCAAAAGCCTTCCCTGCTGTGTGGCTTCGACTCCCACCGAGGCCGCGAAGTTTTCACGATTGGGTCAACCGAATTAAGCAAGCCTGTCAACTTCCCAACCCCCCTCCCCCCCCAAAAAAAATAACCCTTTAACTTATCCCTTAATCATTGCATTAAGCACAACCAGAAACGCAATCCTAATATAACATGCTTACCCAAGTCGAATAAAAAAGCATGTTACCGTAGAGAAAACTATGTATTACATATGAGTTCCTTACCGGGACCGGACACCGAGTAGATGGAGGAAAGTATTTACTCAAGAAACCGTCCTTTACTAGATGAAAAAATGGACAATCCGTGCATTTTCTTCTCAAACTAGTGTATCATTAGGACCGGAGACGGATGCTCAACGTTGACCATCTTATTTAACCAGTAAGCAGAGCTAAAAGGAAACCACAAATCCACTGCCGCAGATGCAGACATAAAGGAAGCATGTTGCTGCGTAATCTAAGCGGGAAAGTATATACAAAGCTAAGCAAACTTTGCTAAAATAATTCAGAATTATCTACAGAAACAGAAACACTCACCGAACCACATTTTTGAACGCTTTTCCTCCTGGTCAAGGTCAATTGTGATGGGCTTCCGCTTCTTCCGACTGCCTCGCGAACGATCCTCTGAGGTGCTGCTCACCGCAGTTGAGGGTGGCTTTCGGGGATTTGTCAGTAGGCGGAACATCTCGTAACCGAGGAGGAGGACACCTCCTGCCTGCATCCACTCATGGATAACCTGTGGAGAACGAGGAAAAAGAGAGTAGGAATGACGGCGCAACAAGACATGAAAGCAGTCAAAAGGCCAGGTAATCTCCAGTCATTCTCTTACCTGATAGCGAGCCTCGAGCGACTTGGTGGTGTCTTTTATCGTATGTAGTTTGAAAGGTCGGATCCGGTGCAGCAGGGTGTTCAAATCGGCCTTTATTTCAGTCGTCTTTTCCTGTTCGTTCTCCTCTCCCGCTGCCTCTCCTGAGGTCGCCGTCTCCTTGTCTTCTTTCATCTCGCTTTTTGTGGGCCCTGACTTGCTATCATTCGATGGCACAGCATATTCCTCCAGCTTCGTGGCAGTGGAAGGCATTGGGACACAGTGATTGTTTTCAACCACCTGTTCTTCCATCCCCAGCGTGTCGGTCTCTGGAGGGAAATTGGGCTTTGGTGTCAAGTCAGCCTGTGTTGATGGTTTTTCATCAGACACCGATGGGTAGCAACCATTGGATTGCCTTGGCGGGAACGAGGACAATTTCATGAAGGAGTTAAAGGTGTCATCTTCGCCTGATCCAGCAGCGGTGGCATTAACCCCAGCAAGGAAGTCATTGGCGCAGGGGTCCAATGTTACAAGAGACGGTGCCGATTGAGACATGTGTGGCGCCGGGGGCTCGTGTAGTTCATCTAATGCCGACGGAAGCCAGAGTTCGAATTCCGTTTGCCAGTTCTGTAGGAAATCAAGATGCTTAGATAAATGGCCGTGCAAAGTATAGTAAATGCAGAAAATCAGGTCAAGTTTAGTTTTTTTTTCTTGATTTATGTGGGCCTTAAATGACTTTGTTGAAGTGAAATGTCAACAAAAATGACCCGAAGGACCACATGCCAGAATAAGCAAGTGCATTTATTACCTTATACTAAATTACTCGATACATGTATGCAGTAGTCTCGTCAATTAAAATTAACAACGGGCTTGGTAATTTGAGTTGACGGCGAGAGAAAATTGGTTAGAGTACGAATCAACAGGGCAAGTTAAAGGGATAACGGAAGTTATTCTCCAGATTAACAGGGAAGATAAAGTCATGCGAATGGGGAGTGCATCTGTGAGATCAGGCACAATGATGCGGACTGTTAAGTGTTCCGGCAAGAGCAGGAAAAAATGTTGCATAAATGAACCAATAGCGTCCCCGAGCTCACAAGTACTCACCTCCGACGTCCTTACTGATCAGCGCAGTTGCGCCGCAGACGCAACTCTGCTGGTGCGCAAAATGAGCGAATCGCATAATAAGTAGGATGGTCAACCCCAACCGCACTAAAGCCGCGATTTTCAACACATTCTCGATCCTCATAAACGGAAAGTAGGTCAAACTTCTCGAAAAGTCAGGTATCAAATAGGTATCTCTGCGATGGCACAAGCCATCGCAACAGTATCCACCACCTGGTAAGTAAACCTGCCCCTGTAAACTTACGATGCAAAGAACAGAGGACTCTTGTTTCGTGTAACCGATTCACAGTTAGAAAAATATTAGACCAGCAGACACGAATGGGTGCTATTGACGACACCGGGGCTCATGAAAAATCTGCACTACCACTGAGGTCTAAATTGGACAAGAACAAATTGCCGCGCCTGTGAACGAGAACTTTGCAGTACAGGAGAGATGTGACTTGTTACCAAAAATTGAAGAGTAAAAGGACTAAAAATAAGTTAACTGTGCATCTATTCATTCACCTGCTCCTGTGGGGCAGAATATATTGGTCGCATTAGCCGGCGTTCGTTCAAAAGAGTACGAGAACACATTCCAGCATGGTTAGGGTAGGGCCACTTAAAGGGTATAGACAGTTGCGTTCTACCGCATCTGATCGATTCAAACCATTGTGTGGATGCCAGAGAAGCCGTCCGAGTGATCTACAAGGTGCCTTCAAGATATTCAAAATACTTTGGACAGCGTCTGTTGGATACGGCAGAAGCAGCCGCCATCAGGCTACGCCGACCAGTCCTGTGCGCCCAAAAGAAATTCGTAACGATGCTGCAGTTACCATGGCCGAGAGTCACTAATCCAACAGCTCGCAGCTTATTACCTCTCTCGGCTACCAGTCCCCCCCCTAACGCTGGTCACTTTTTGACCCCAATTACCCTCCCCCCACCTACCCTGACAACGGCACTATTTTTTCTACCAACCCGCATAGTTTATTTAGTTAATTACGATATAAATGTACAGGTCTGACGAGAATTTATCCAAAACAAACGTATGTTCACCAATTTATCTTCTCGAAAATAAGTTTAATATTGACTTGGGACTCATTTTAATAGAAGACGTGTGCCTTATAACGGAAACAAAATGTGTATCCTCTGAATTGTGATCACATCCCAGTGCTGGCATAAAACCATAGCCTCGTATTTGTGGGCTGAAACTTTTTCGCGTTGCAACCATCTTTGTATCCTTCACCTTTCTACGTGCGTCGGACCATGTTTTTGTTCGTTAACACTTGAAAGTTCATCATTCAGTCACGCCCAAAATGCTACGTGGTAGACGTCATGTCGCAAAAAAATCCGAAAATCCAGCACTGCCAAGATTTTAAGCAGAGAAATCCAGTTCTATTTTACGACCTGAACCGGCAGAGAATGCAGTCTATGTGGCAGCTGAAAAATTCTTGGATATATCCAGCAACGCCACAGTGATTGGATCAACGGAAGAAGCCTTCAGTTGTCGGTTCAGACAGCTCGATCCAAGTCCCATAATGATTACTCCTTCCGCCAGCTACGAGAGATGACGGCAAGGTCGGCTAAGGATGGCCTGAGGAAATGAATTGCTGAAATAGCGACCTACATGGAGGAGGCGCCAAATGTTGATGACACTCTAAGCCTCTAAAAACATTATCCGCTAAATTGGTGCTAAGCCCTCTGCACTGAATGACGCTGTTCGCGACATGAATAGCAGCTTTACTGGTATTCGTACATTGAAGGGTATCCTACGTCTACTCGTTTAGTTAATGGCCCTTCGCATTTTCACATGAATGAGATCGGAGCACCGTGAAACTTATTGTCAGGTGTTTCGAAAATTGGCCCAACTTCGTTGTTATCTAATGGATAAAAAATTATACGGCGCACTTTTCTTCATATCCCCTGGTAAATAGTCAACATATCCACAACCATCGGGCATTTTATTCCTTGTTCTTAGTGTGCCAGGATACTGAAACAAAGAAACTAATTTCTATCCTACCTCCGTGACACAGGTTTGCCCCCATTTTCCCGATTGTCTTTTGACTATTTTGTCTAGAGCGCTTTTTTAAAAATCGAAATTAACCCGATACAAAGCATTTTCGCGTGGTTTTTCGGCTATCTGACGTTGAACGCTTTTTCTTCCAAGCTGCTTGTCAGTCTCAGTGGAGGAATAAACACATGCAGCTGACAGCTACCGAATTCGCTGTAAGCCTGCCGATACCCAGTGCTCTTGTTACTAAATAATGAGGCATGCATCTGGGGACGAAAAAGAATCTGATTAGTTTTAATTTTGCATTTTTAACATAGGAGTCAAAGGTAAATACCCAATGTTCAAATAATAAGCTGGTTTGTGAACTAACTAGTAAATAATCGGTCAGAAACCTCAATTTTCAGATTTCTCATCGTGCCTCTCTGGTTGCAAAAACTTGGTTGTGCGTGTTATTTATTTGCTTATCGTCTGGACAGTGTGACTGGACTGTATTTTACTAAAAGCGTTGAATAGCTTAAAATAAATACGCTTCCTACGTACCTCTGGATTTGCCAGAGTCACATCAGGTGGCTGGGAGAATAAAAGACATTTCACATTTTAGCACTCACCGGGCAAGGCGGTTTCGAATGCTGATGAGCATCATGCTTTGATAATAAAAGTAAATATATTGGATACGGAACACGGACGATCCCATATGATAATCCGACAAGCACTTGGGAAATTCTATGTTGTGCAATCATCGGAAACAACTTTACTACTTAAGACTATGAAGCAGTGAAGTTCGCCTAGCGAGAAAATAAATGCAGTGGGAGGATGAACTGCCGAATCCCGAGTTCGCGTTCCGGAGCAACTGTTATCTGACTAGGTGAGCTTGACACAACTATCAGCTGCAGACCT